CACAATTCCCGTGCCGTCAAGGTGTTTGTTGTTTTCGTAACAACGTAAAGATAATCAACAATACAATTGAGTTGTATCTTTTTCAACCAAAGTATTGTGTAACGCACATTATATGGACCTTCAGGCAAATGTCACTTTTATGTGATACAATGTAACAATATTGAAGATCGGACTGTCTCATTGAAATCGATACATCGGTGGGTTTTTATTTTTGTTTTTTTAAATTGCCAAGGGCATGTTTTAATTGTCTTTCCCGAGGGAGCCGAGGATGGACAAATAAATTGGCTTTCGAGACGCACGCTTCCGATAATTGGAAATTGTAGTTGTGTAACGATCGATGATTAGCGATAGAATTCTGTTAATGCCTTTGCTATAATGAAAAGGTCATATCAATTCGTTTACAATGTTCATCGTTCATCAGCGGCTAATTCAGCTTCTTTCACTGTCAGTACTTTACCGGGTTGGTTGTTACAAGCATGGAGTATCTACCTCGCATTGTAAAAGTGTAAAGAGTGATGTCGATTACAGTATTCGCGGGTGACGCTTATTTTTCTCTTCTGTGTCACAATTAACGGAATGTGATACCTGCCAGTCTACCAAGGGTAACTTGTCAGGAATTAGTCATCGGTTGTCTCCGGGCTATAGCGACCATTAGACAAATTGATTGGACGGCTTGCAACCTTTTATTTTAAATTGGGTTCAAAACGTTCAATTTGTTTTCCTCTAATTGAAGATTTGGTTCAGGGTATAGATACAGTTTTATGTGCACTCGGAGCCCTAACATTATGCATTTTTTTATATTTAGTTTTAGCTTCACGCGATTAATATGCTGAATCTACGCCACAATCGTCCCTTAAAAAAATGCCACTTTTAATAACACAGTGAAATTCCTTTGTCGGTTCATTTAGTGGTGTGTATTTATTTACAAATGCTATACGGCGTGTAGTATTTTTCTTTCAACTGTTTACCCAATGTATTTATTTTTTGCATTTTATGTAGTCTTGTCTATGTAGGATGTATTTTAATTCAAGAAGTCTGTAGGTGTGGACGATCCAGTAGGATTTACAAATACATATACACGGACTGCAACAAATTAAGGAATATAGATGTAGGCGGTTTATTTATCTATAAACTGCGGCCAGGAGTTCGTGCTTTTCAGATGTTTTAATATATTATAAGCGAATCGGCGTCAAGTCATGCAAACACCGAGACTAGGGTGGTTGTCTACGCCCTACAACGTGCGTTTGAATATCATGTACACAAGTTAGTTGCTCATTTCATGTTGCCAAGAACAACGTACCCGAACAATCAATCACAGTGGGTGGCGTGATGAGGTTTTCTGGGCCATATACATTTACTTTTAATTGGAGATATCCGTTCGTGTTCTCATAGTAACCTGAAATGTTACAAAAGATGTTGGTTGGATGTCTGTGCTTTATATAATACTGTAATACATCGATTGCAAAAATAATGGAATTCGTTCGTAAGTGAAACGACGTAAAGACGTGTTTGAAAGTTTTACTAACGCGTTGGAATAGTTGCCACGCATTTGAACATCTTTTGTTCTCGCTTAACGCAGCAACATTGTAGCGCGCGTGCGTAGAAATAGCATTACGTCATTTGAACGCAAACGACCACAAAGGCACGAATACTATTTGCTCGCATTTCGAGCTGTTATATGTCACTAGATTATGAGTAATAGATTAATACTAATACTAATAATAATAATAATAATAATAATAATAATAATAATAATAATAACAAGTTTATTACGAGAATGTTGCAAATTAGGCACTTAGGCCGTGCGGGATCACATTGTCCTCCGCCACACGTTAGTCTATACTGCCTTTACAGTAATATTGTGCGTTGACACTTGGGATCGCACAAATGATACTCCGAATTCTATATTTAAACTTAAACTTCAGCGCAGTAATGAGGCAATGTTTACAGACTGATAACAGGGCCTGTAGACAATATTACTGAATCAATTTAGTAAGTGCGTATTGGGTTAATGGAATTCATTAAATATACATTGTGTATTGGGGCGACTATTTGATTTTTGTGCACGCCAATCAATACATTGAAAATGACTGTTATGATCTTGGGGAATTCTTCCAATCCTTTTCTCTTTATGGTTTACCGAATAACAACCAAAATCAGCCTTCAGATGCATCCAATTAATTGCATATACATGACTTTGTGATACACACCCTTATAGATCGCGATCTTGAAGTCAACAATACTCATTTCCATTAATTAGAAATTTGTAACGCACAAATAAGGTTGATAAACGTCAGTCAAACCTTGGATTTTAATCAAGGCACAATCACTTAACACGAGTCGTGTTCGATATGGCTCCAATGCCACTGGCGGATCCAGAAATTCGGTGAGAAACGCGCTCCTATTGACGTGGGCTGGGTGGGCTGGGTTTGTCAATTGATTTGTCATTTTTGTTTGCGGGCTGAAAGGCGCCTTGCGACGTACAAAACTCGTAATACGCTATACAATGATGATGATGTCGCTTTGATATGTAATATACGACTGAGTTCCGTGCTGAATATCATTACATTGCATTTTATTTTGTCGATGGTTGATTGTCTTGATGGTTGCCATGATTATTTCATGACTTACTTGCGATTGTTCACTCTGTAATTTATTTTCACCATATAGGTAATGTACATTTTATACATACAAAAAACAGTTGCGCCGTGACCTAACTATATTCCACTTTCTTTCGATGTTATCTCGAACGACATGGGTCCTGGAAATTGATGCTTGATATAGATACAAAGAATATTGACTAAGTGGATGGGCAATGCGTGACAAATTAGATAACGTGGCACGTGTATAACAACAGCAATTTATCAAGTGGTAATTAAAATTACAGCCACGTCTACCAACATATAAACATGAAACGCAATTCGAACATGCAACTCGACGCGCTCCCCGCTAAGCCACCTTGCCCTGTCCGAAGAAAAGGGCAGATTGGAAAAGCGTGTAGTGAATGCGCTCTTACAGTGCCTTAGATGGACATGCGCGATTCGAATCTTCGACGTCAGTAACAACGTACAGAATTACTAGAGTTCTACACATATACAAAGCCTGGTATATCCACGGTCAGTAAGATCTACCCAGCTACGAACTTTCTTGGGGATAAATCTGTCCATTCCACTGAAGAACACCTGAGTGAAAGTAGTCAAAAATACAGACATATACGAACATGTAATATGAAACACGTGTAATATATAACATATTTATGGGGGTGTTGAGTTACATATTCCATGACCGTTGAAATATGTGTTTAGTCGTATGATGTTATTCGTATCTGTACATATATTTTTAATATTATATAATTATATGGTATTTGTCTTTATTGACTGGCATTCAAACCACGTTACCTTATGTTCTTTGACATGGTTAAGACTGTACTACTGTTAGATCCGGGTAAATATAAAAGATATTCTGTAATTGTCACAACATAAATAATGATCACCTCATCCAATACTGATTCACTGAGTAAATCCGGCTTATAAATTTTTCCAATGAGTGTATCGTTACAATGCACGAAAGAGTGTCCATTAAAACGCGTTAAGAGCGGTGGGAATGTAATTGATGTCGTCAGTGCAACATGCTATGGGTAATAAACACGCCAGGGGAATTCGAATTCTGAATTCGGAATGCTGATTCAATCTACGCCTGTCGAATCTGCATTCTTACAATTTACTTTCATTCAACTCCCAGGTTTAGTGTTTTCACAATCTAGTAATCACACTAATACATAACCATGTTTTAGCAATCACCCTTACGTCATTAGCAAAATTGAATTGGGATGCCCCTTAATAGAAAAGCATAGAGTTACAACAAATCATGTGTCGTGTTCCAACAATGTATGCCTTTGACTCGATCACTGTATGTTAAATTCAATACAATTGGCTTTGTTAAAATAGGCTATGCTATGCGTATTTCATTTTCCTTGCTGGCAAGAACCATGGTGTACATTCGATGGTAAACATGAAACAAATTTCTGAAACAAATGAATAATGACATTTGGAAGAGCTATTGAATAATTTCTCAGTGTTTGAATTACTCTTAATTTCGTGTTTTTTTGGGGGAGGGCATTGGAACTGTGTGGGATTTTGAGTATGTTTGAAACACATTTCTGAAATTATCTCTGACGAGTCTTGGTATATTAAAAGGTTGTTAGGCATGCATAACTAATTAATTCGTTTGGGTGTATGGGTGTCTAAGTTTTGTGGGTGGGTGAAGTAGCTGTAATATACGTACACTCATCGTTGCATCTCGTACGAATAGGTAGATGCACATTGCAACACGCAGATGAAAGCATAGCGATCAAAGACCGAGTCACGGTGGCGGGGTCGAAACATCACGGAGCGATTTTTCAATTGACTAAATTCATCGCTACGGTCATCCCCAGTGGCAAATTCGTGATTATTCTTGAATTAATGAAGATAATCAAGAACATATGAATACAGCTAATTGAGGTCGTCGCAAGGCCCAAACTACATAGACGACAGCTGATTAAATCTGTACCCTCAGCGTTCCTGAGGTCCACAGTCCATATTTGCAAATTACGCTTGTGATTATTTACTAGCGCCATCAGACTGCACTCCCTTATTGATGCTGATATTTATGTATTTTTAAGATCATTTCTCATAGGCTTCCTGAAACAATATTACTCTGGTTACTCCTAGTATTGCCGAATACAGCACGCAATGCCTTGCTCCAAATCTATATAGAACACATAATAACACGTTTTAGACATTTGTTGATATTGTCTGGACCAATTGTGACGGGCGAGAATTGTCATTAGTGTAGGTTTGCTCACTGCAGATACCTTGCTGAGATGTCAGTTGTTTATGAAGGTCCTTCAGTTTTACATCTGGTCTCCGGGACCTACCAGTCAGTTATCATTGCTTTGTATGGACAGATGCATACATTCGTGCCAATACCTTTATTCATATTGTTTGGGTTTTTTGCAGGTATTTACACAGGTAGTATATATAACGATAAAAGTTTGAAACGTGAAGGTTTCGATGGAGAAGGTTTTACAGATAACTCCGTGATTGTTGTCAAGACGCATGAATGGGATAATCACACTTTGTCCAAATACCAGAAGGCCGTATTAATTGTGCGGGACCCGTTTGACGCTATACGATCCGAGTTCAACCGCCACTATGGCGGCCATCGAGGAGTCGCTGCTAAATCCAAATACACCACAGGAAAGAGTAAGTGATTGAGACATAAATAAACATTGGATAGAAATGTTAAACTATGCTTTTTCGTTACAACCGGATATTAAAGTTTTAGTTTAACTTTCGTGCCACTTCAAATATTTGAGTTCACACTACTGCTGCTACCTCCCGTCAAACTCTCGTGTATGAGAAGTTTACCCAAAACTAAACATATCCTAAATTAGTTTTTATATTAGTGTATTTGACCAATAAATCAATTAGCAACGTTCTGTTATGTGAAACAAAGCTATAGTATTGTTTGTATCGATGCAATAAATGACAGTCTCCATAGAACAAAACGTAAAAGCACTTATTTTAACCTATTTCTGAAATTCCAAATTTCAAAACGGTCGTCGTTACTTTATTTCCCGCTAACATTTTTTCTCTTATTAGAAATCAACATAGTGGAGTTTTGATAAATTTGGGATATTTTTATTTAAGAGTAGAGTTTCTTTGACTTGAATACACGATTGCATGCAGTTCTAACTCACAAACTGTATAATAATACAATGCATATTTCGAACATTAAACAACGACATGAAATAGTTAATACAATAATGTAGTCCAATTATTTATACGCACATCGAAGGTGGCAGGTAAATATTTCGAAAAAGTGCGGAAGTCTTCCTGCTCACGTCACATCCGCCATAATTGACCTTACCAGGATCTTGTTGCATATCAAAGCCAGGTAAAGGTGTCGGTGTAACCAATTTATTCTTTTTTTCTGATCCAAAACGTGAAATTATAGTTAGATATACAGTCAGTCACCTCTGTGTACATCGATCACCGCGTAAGATGAATAAAATTTCTCTTAAGGTAGCGGGACTATTATTTGCATACTTGTTTTCATCTTCCAGTTGTAACTAAATGACTACAAATAGACCCAGGAAAGTATATATTTTTAGAATCGCCAGACTTCAAGCTTTTCACAAGTGTATTTTGCATGCCCGTAAATGCATTCTACGACGCGTTACTCAATCAAAGGTGAAAAATTACTTTTTCTGTAAAAAAAATAATTACGCATTTATGCTGGCGATAAGAAGTATTTTTTTCACTTTTCCTAGTTGTTCAATAGTCAGGTAATGTGAATGTGTCTGGTCAGTTTTATTCAAGCAACGTGTTTTAAAAAATAGTGTGCTGAATTTCAATTACTGTTTTAGTCGCATTGCCCCCAACTCAAACCACAACTTGTTGGTAACGTCCATGAAGTAACAGCAAAGATTTTCAAGCTTGTTTATCGGCACAATCAATTTGTTTTCCCATCAAGGTCTGTTTTAACATGTGTAGGGACATCCAAATGTGTAAGACTATTGGAAACCAAAAAAATAAAGGAATGGGATAGCTATAATTGGATAAATTCGGCATATGAAAACACCAAAATCAATGATTTTTTTTTTCAGTGGCTGTGTGACCTTGTGTCTAACGCATTCATATGCAAATGACTAATCTGTGAAACAAACAGGGGCGGAGACAAACCACTCAAATGTTTGGAAACACCCATTGTGTGTCAGATAGCTACTGATAACACATGCTAACATTGCTTTGTCTTGAGTTTATCTTTGAAACTTATAGGCACACAGATTAAACCTGTGTTGCTGATTTTGGAAAACACTACTGAGGCCAACTTGCTTCCCTTCAGAAAATCTACATTTTAACCAACTTACATGACATTCTATATTATGTTGACTTTATCACATGAAAGTTTATAGTGCATTTCATCAATTAATAAATAAATGTGAAAATCATAATTTTCAACACAAATAATAGTCTCGCTACCTTAAAGTTTCATGCCCACTTTGTGTTATATGAAGAACAACTCTTAACGATTATTGTGATGACCAAGACTAATGATAAAATAATTGGTTTGGCAACAAATCCTGGATATTGCCGCACAAATATAATTTTCATTTTTGTGCGCAGTCAATGTCACTTTAATCCATATTCAAGTTCTGAAAAATAGTTTGACTTAATGTACATTGCGTGTGGACATCAAGATTATGGTCACTAACACAGGTATTGGCTGCATAAACTTTGAAAACACGAAGATGTAAATAATACATATTGTTTGTCTACATACAAAACCTTTAGATTTATCTGAGAATGTCTCATTGTCTTATACAAGCAAATGTGCAATATTTTATCCTATTGTCTCCTTGATGAAATTACAACTTACATTTTTCTGCTTCATTGCTCTTTTCTCAGTTTGGCAAGATTTTGTATATGGAAAGGCACAGTCGTGGACAAATACGGTAATAGAATGGTTAAAATTCCGTGGACCTCTGCTGTTAGTCAGATACGAAAATATGAAATCGAACTCCATGGGGGAACTCGTTCGAATTCTCAAGTTCTTGGGGCATGACGTGACTAAGGAACGCCTTCAATGTGTTAGTCGCAACTCGCAGGGAAAATTTAAGCGAATCGCGAAGGACTATCTAGATTTCAATCCATATACAGCCGATATGGTGGAAACGATAACTATATATAAACAGACAGTGGATATGGCCATACAGTTATACACGCTACAACAGTGCCAGGAGAATAAGGACACCAGTTTTTTCCAGATAAATTGTACTGAGATATACATGAAATACAGCAGCTAAATCTTAATGGTGATCAGATGTTGCAACATTCATTATTTACATCGCCCATTCAAACATTTGCTAGATATTTCATGTGGTACAGCCTATACCGGAGCATATATTCAGGGTGGTATACTTGCAGGGACGTGGTTCTGGTTAGGCGTTATATTGATCTCATACTGTTCAAGCAGACAATTCATTCCTATAATATATTTTACAATCGATATGTGTTATGAGATTTTATGCGACACACTGTGCGTTTACGTCGCGCCCTCTAGCGACAAACCGCGTACGTGACGCCATATATGTCGTAGATGGGTGAAAGCGTTGTAATTGAAAGCGACAACTCTTTTGTTTGGTTGTGTAGTCGTTAGTCAATTAAAATCAGTCAATTCTCCCAAAACAGTTTTAGAGCGACTATGAATCAAAACGATATCGACATCACATTACGTCACAGATGCTCTTCGTCGCTAGAGGGTGCGCGACATGGAGGACATATATGTTGCATATAATTATCTTATATATATATATATATAACTCATTCAGACGTGGCTGTTCTCCGGTCAAAGGTCAAATCATTCCAGCTATTTTCATCGAATTATGTAGAATTGTTAATCAGTGGGAATTGTTAATTTCAGTTGCAACTCAAGTAAAGCGCCAGCATAGTCGTCGCGCGTGTACAATCTATCGTTTAGAATTCGAGCGCGTTGTGCGATGGCTGTGGCATGTTACCCTGGACTGTGAATGTGCTCTGCAGATGATGTTAGTCTAATTCCCTCCACGTTATTATTGCACTGCACGCTGTGTATATTCTTCGGAAATTTGGAAGCGCAAGCCTTCTTGTTAAGAAGCCCAAATTTACCATATGTCGCTACAATTCGAAAATATATCGTAGCACGAGCACGTGTAGTTAACAGGAATTCGACATTTTAGTTCAATAGATTTGATTACTATAACAAGTATGACAGCGTGTTTAATGATTGCGACCACCAAGGTCAAACAAGGTCAAGTAATGTTAATGCGTCTGCCATGGTACTTTTCATATCATAAACAATAGCGTAGGCAGTTACAATTCTCAGGAGTTTTGTTTTTTGCCGAATGAGTTAGATTTCTCGAATCTGTAATCCTGATTCTTCTGAAATACTGCGTGAGTAGTAGGGTTGTTCCGAAATATAATACTCTACGTGTCAAAGCATGTATTACGTGTTTTATTTTAAATATATTTTTATGAACTTTTGCTAACCAATTTTACAAAAAAATATCTCAACTGAGAAATAACGTCATAATCTAACTACAAGTCAAAGAACGCGTGGCGTTAGGCCAACAAACCGACGACCGAAAACCTTCTGAAAATACATGATTATATCAGTGAGAGAAAGATGGACCTCAAGATGGATGTACAAGTGGATGAATGGGTTGCTGTTGTCAAGGGAACTTCGAATGTTGTAATACAATCATACACATTTCATATCCAGATTCATAATACCAAACTCAAGAGGACGAACACAAAACAATATACATCTAACTAAAGTCGGCACAATTCTGTTTTAAGCCTTTGACACGTTAAGTAATATGTATACTGTAATTAGTACAACAGCTAATGGGTTTGCGGGATATCCGCCTTGCCAACAACAACCGAGCATCACCGAGCAGGTTCGCAGCTTCGGTTTTGATTGAGTAATCAGTATCTTAGGGTGTGATCAGGTCACCTTAGCCACGGTTTTAGTAACCGTGCCTTAGCTATACCTGTCGTTGTACCTGCTTAGATGCGAACTAGTAATTCATCGCATTATTATTCGCTGCCCTTATAAATCACTGAGTTATATTTCAAAGGCATTGGTACCCAATAGCTTAATAGAAATTCAGGAATGTATGGACGTTCGGTTCAAGTTTTCTCTAATGACCCCCCCCCCGACCACATCAATCATGTATAATTAATTCAATCCATGACACAAATGCACAAATATGTTATGTTGTACAATGTTAAAGCCGACATTATAGTTAGAGCGGGAGAGTCGTCACCTGCGCACGCGCGGGAATTGAGTCTCAAGCGATGATGACAACACGCGCCAAGAACGCAAAGGCTCATGGGTAGACGCTTGTTTGTAAACAATGACACGCTGTGGCCACCTGACGCATGCGTATGTAACGACTCCCCCGCTTTAACGAGTCATGTATTCGACAATGAGTGCATATGCTTTGCAATAACTTTTTCGTTGATTAGTAAATTGATTAGTAAATTGTTTGTTTTTTTAATGTGAAACCTTCCCTGACTTTACAAATGACTCTATTGTGGAAGAGTGTAGTGTTACAGTAGTAAAATGAATTTCAACGAGCGCAGTGATTTGTATTGGAGATGACACATTCATGACCGTGTGATCTGGCGACGTGCGACACATAAATCTGTTCCAGTGTCTAGAATACGTGATTTGACCTGGTAGTTGAAGTATATCAAATTATCAAATCAATATATAATGTCACATGATGTATCATAGTCATTTTGAATGTTTAATGAATGTTTGTTTCATCCATTATTTATTCATTTGTGTTGTTAATTTCATTCCTCGCTGCCTCGTATAGGCCATACGTTGAATATAAATTCTGTTCTAAGAATAAAACCTGTTTAATCAAGTGGTAATTGGGGGTGAGAATAGATTGCGTGATAACATGTGTGTTTAGTTTCGTGAAAAATAACCCACAAAATCGAATGTCCAAGCAATTGAAATTACGGTTGTTTTCAAATCGAAAATGCAATTGTTGACTGAAACGGCAGAAGACGACGGACAACCACTTTTATGGACAGCTCCGCTCTGTCATCTACGAATACTTCTAGCCCAGGATGGAAATAAACATCGAGTTAGCTGTTCTTAATGCGCAGCACAAACTCATAAATTGCGCATCGACTCCTTAGGTTGCCAACATTTCTTTGTATCAGGAAATTTTCAACTGATCCGAGTCGAGATCAGCATTTTTCTCCCGATCAGATATCTTCCCCTGATGTGAAAATAATCTCCGGTTTAGAGAATTTTTTTTTTTTTAGTATTTACGTGACATTCTCGTATTCTATACATGTCTTTCGGGTGTTGTTTTGTACAACTAAGCATTCCGTTTTGTAAGATTAGTTTGTTAATTTTGATCTGTGCGATCGTGAATCTGGCGTCCTGACATTTCAATCGCACCAGTAACAGCATCGCGTATAAAACAATTGCTATAAATAACATCGTAATTACTTCCCATGCAAATAATTGTACAAAATGACACATTACTAAGTAGATAGAGTCGAAAGCAACGTATGTCTTCATTACATGGCGATTACTTAATTAGGATACATGGTTCGAATATCTTACAGGATCTTCGGATAAAAATATAACCTAGCCGGAGAATTGATTACGTACTGTTTTCAAGGATTGTACATGAAAATAACAATTTACAGGGAAAACGCAATGAAATAGACTATCACTCTGCAAGTTTACTGCAATATTAACCTATGTCTGGGCGTTTATTGACAACTGAACTTACTGCATACGAGGCAATATCCGTTGCAATAATGTAAATTATATATCGGATGTTTGACGGGGAAACGTCAGTGGCGACTCCCATTCTCTTTCACCGGTATACTTACATAGCCTCGAGTAACTACTTATCGATAATGAAAACATGCCACACCACGGCGGTAACCATGGTAATACACATGTGTAACTGATTTCGGATTTTGACGGTTAGTTGACAAAAATTTTAGAGAACGCGACCGCGCAAGAAGCTGTTATGTCATTGTGTACTGGCATTAAACCCTTAGTTGTAACGTGATACGAGTTCGCCACGTCGCCATTGTGAAGCGTAGTACTCTCCCCGCTAATTCTCAGTCCGCCGCCTCGTGTCATTGCCTTTTAAAATTTGTTAATGAGTTATACGAAGGGGTTTAAACGTTTGATTGAAGTGCATTTTATCGAAGATGGCATGTTAGGTAAAGAAATACGCTTATTAAAATTCGAATTTGTAAACGTTCACAAGTACTCCATATGTATATTCAATGTAACATGCACAATTGCTGCGAGGTATCGTAAAAATCGCATCCTATTCTTAGGGATGAATAAAAAAAAAACGTGGGCGTACATCTTTCTTTGAACGTTCCACTTGCTGTACATATTATACTTACCACAAAGGAGTGATTGTAACGAACAGCTTGAATCGCTGGCATCGTTTATTCTAAAACTTTATTAACGTACTGAGAAATAATCAACATATCAGAGAAAAAATCGCGACTATCGTCAGTGCACTGCAAATGCAACCCCAAAAAGAATTACGATCAATTACAATGCAACGCGTGATCTGAAATTAGATAATCTTAACATCTTACCAACTTGATAAGAAATGGACATTTGAATCATTTGAAAAAAAAAATCGCAAAAAAATCGCAAGTCGGCCATTTTGTATCAGAATCGCAAAACAAAATGGCGTGTATCAATAACCAACTATGAGTGACACAATAACAATTTGGAATCGAAACGGTTGATGCCATGTCAAATATTGATTTGGGGTGATTTGGGAGGGGGGTGTCCGCCAGTCGATCAAGGGTCAACCAAATAAAAAACGATTCGAAGTGCATACATATCCCATTATGACATTTCTTTGCACAAACCTCGAACTGTGTGAGAAATTATGACGGAGCTGAATTCAAAACATAAGTCTCTATTTCGGGGACTACAAAAGTACGGGACAACATAGTGTATATGAATATACATTGACGATCATCGATATTAGAATGTGTAATTTACAATGATTATGGTGATTATGAGCCCTCTATCCAGTTGATGTAGCATTTAGATCTAGGCACGTAGTATTCCCTGCTGTTACAGCCCATTCCGGAAATGTTTTGACGTTAAATATGACGTCACCATACGTATTGATCCACATGTTCGTCAGCAGAATCCCAATGATGTTCAAAGCAAATCCTGCCTTTGCCTGTCAGTATAAAGGACATGTACATGTGTTCATATCTGAACAATTTGTATGATATTGTGAATATGTTGTTTGTTGTAGGAACTGCTACATCATCAAACGTTTGTTGTCATCATCTTAAAGGCCCAGGTATACTATAAATACGCTTCTAAACAATAGGGATTATTTCCTTGCTTGTCACGCTGTAGTAAACAGCTCCGGCCACGCTCCAGTAAAGACATGTTTTCCCGAACTTACAGGTCGATTATGTTGTGCCAAAGTGGATGCATGTGACTATGAATATCACAGCAGTGACTGTATGTAGTATTTAAGACAATAAATAGTGTACGAGCTGAGATTTTGGCGAATAAAAGTCAAAAACATGAA